TTGCTGGGTAATAAAAGTAATAAATGGAAAACAAATTATATGATAATTTACTTGATGTAAAATTAATTTTACTATCCAGAGAGACAGTTGTCATTTTATACCTTATTGTTTGATATTTGTTTTTATAATTTGGATGACTGTTTTGGAGAATGGTGACCATAAATGACAGTAATATAGTTTTTATTTTTATTATTTCCATTTTATTTCCTAATTGGTATCATTTTGAATATGACTTCAAAACATTTGAAGCATATGATTTAAGTGTGATCACATCAAATATTACTTCTTTGAAATTAACTTTCTTTTATATTTTCACTGAAAATACTTATTTTTCAATATTTTATGATATTGAAGCCTTGAAAAAATAAACTATACAAAATGCAACATTTCAGCTTTTAGGCTCATTTTATTAAAAAGAATATTTTCCTCTCTAGAACTACTGACATTTAATTCCATGTTTTTGTGAAATGGTCATTTTGAAACTTCACTGAGATCATATATCAGAAGATCTCACTGCAGACTTTTAAGATGTAGGTTTTTGTCTGAATGAGCAGCTTACATTTTTATTTGAGAAAGAACCTTTAAAATGCTATCTTTCTCTAGTAGAGACCACAGATACCATCTGTGTTAAGAAAGTACTGTAATTATTTTCCTCTGTCAAGTAACATCAAATGACAAGAATTAGATGGATAAAAAGAATTATATGTAACATTAGATGTACAAAATACATTTACATATGCATTATATACATATTTGTGGATGCATTATCAGTCAGTTGGCTGGGCTCCTGTTGCCTTAGCCAAATTCAAGTCCTGGCAAGATAAGTAGAAGCTCTTCCAGTGCTGGTAATCCCAGACTTGGTGATTCTTATAATTGGCTGCTGACAGAAGTAAACTTCAGCAAGCAATAGTAAGTGGCATCTTTTCATGTTACAGTTCTTGTATGGGAATTAGGTACTGGAATGTTGGAAGTCTCAGCCCTTGATAGCAATTGGCTAGTGTTATAGCTCTTAGGCTTCAGATGTCAGGACATCAGCCCTTGAAGCTTATCAGCTTTCTATAACTCTCCCAGTAACCAAGTCTCACAATTCTGTATTCTTGCTGTGTACAGCCTCTGTTTTTTCTTCACCCTCAGCTTTCTGCCCTTTCTTGCCTTCTCTCAAATTCTGCTATCCCTCATCTCTGCCATTTTGGCTCTCCACTGTTCTTGCCCTGGCCACTCTCTGGAAATCTTCAGCTGCTTCTCCTCATGATTGCAACTGCCTCTTCTACTGCCTTTGCCTCTGCTGCTACCAGGGTGGTGGCTGCTGTCAACCCACCACTATTGCCACAACCTCTTCTCTTTTCTTTATGCTATCTGCTTAGCCTTCTGTATGAATGATAAATATCAAAACTAGCAAAAAAAAAACGGTCACTTGAAGCTGGATGCCAGTGGCTCACGCCTGTAATCCTAGGTACTCAGCAGGCAGAGATCAGTAGGATCGTGGTTCAAAGCCATCCTGCGCAAATATGCAATACCCTATCTCAAAAAACAAAAACATACAACAACAACAACAACAAGCATCAAAAAAGGGCTGGTGGAGTGGCTTAGAGTGTAGGTCAAGTTTAAGCCACATTACTGCAAAAAATAAAAATAAAAAAAAAAGACCACTTGAGAGAAGCTTTTTGTTGGGTCTAATATTACAACATCAGGATGTAGCACTGGAAAGTGTCTTACAGCTGGCTTACTAAATGAGCCAAAAGGCCTTATACAGCCAGAAATGGTATATGACAAAGGTGTGTGAACCAGTAATGGCAGTCCCTTAATACAAATGGAGGACTGTGTTTGCAACAGTCACGTGACTTCTGCTAGGCTACCAAGGGACTTGCTCTCTATCTAGGCTGTGTAAAAATGGGCACAGAGTATCTAGAAGTTACTGAGACTTGTGATGACAAAAACTCCAGCACAAGTTATTTGATAGTCACAGCTGGGATGTGCCTTCAGCTTTGAGAGGCTGAGGTAGAAGGATAGCAAGTTCTAGGCCAACCTGGACTACATAATAAGACCTTGTCTCAAAAAACCAATGGTATGAAGCAAACATTATTATATGCTAGATGAACTATTAGTTCTTTAATGCATAAAAGTCTAACATTTTAATTCCATTAGCAAAAGTCAATGAAGCTTATACAAAACTTTTATTGAAACCTGCTGGATACTGGAACATCTGGTCAACTAGTTCCAGGAAAAAATAAACTGATGCAGGGAACAAATAGGTGCACCCCAATGTTTGGGCAAGTCACAGAACAAGTAGTCTCTGAGGGAGCCTCTGGGAGTCAATGCTTTAAATGAAGTATTTTGTTATAAAGTACTGAATTTAAAAATCTATGCATCCATACTGATACAAATTAACAACCAAATAAATTGTAAAAATGAAGAAAAATAGATAAATTACCCATGCAGAGGGATTCCCAATCACTTAAGCAGAAGTTCCACAGTGTGCAGGCTGTACCTAGTGACTTATTTCCAAAGAGCACAATACAGATGACAGGAAGAAAGATAAGCATACAGTGGATAAACCTAATAAGTTCTTTAATGTAACAGTGACATTATGCTGGTAGTATGTACCCTGTACAATGTAATAGGAACAGCAAGCTATCCCTCTGGTCTTCCTTCAAACCACTTATGAATCCAGTTTAATCATAAGGAAAATATTGAATTATTCCCAATGCAGAGATAGTCTACAAAATTCCTTACCATTATGCCCCAAACTGTTAACATCATCAAATCAAGGAAAGTATGAAAAACTCTCAGAGCCAACAAGGTCCTAAGGAATCATGAGGACTAAATGTAATGTGGTATACTTCATAGGACCAGTGCAGAAAAAGGACATTAAGTAAAATTTAAGAAAATCTGAATAATGTATGCAGTTTAGTTAATAGTAACCCATCAATATTTATTTATTAGTTATGATAGATATACTAAGTAATTTTTGTGATAGGAGATCCTAGGTGTAAAGTACATAGGAATTATCTTTTTTATTAGTCTTTAAATATGAAACTGTTCTAAGTTTAAAAGATTATTTTGAAATTCAGACCCAAACTTATTTCACAATGAGAGCTGTTGCAAGCCTAATGGTTCATACCTTAAATATTCTCTGGTATTTAAAGGTCACCTCCCCTACAAAAGCTGCAATACAGATGAATTTTGCAATAATTTTACATATTCAAATGACACCACTCAGAAATTGTGTAAGTCATTTTGTTCTCTTCATAGCTTCATTTCTTCAGTAATTTTTTTCCTTTTCTTACACAAGAACAGTAATAGTTTTATGATTTGACATCATTCAACAAGATTTTACAAGCAGAAATGTTCTAAATCATCATTTTCCATGGGTACTAGCCTTATTTAATAAAAGGTTGCATGAACAGAGAATGAGATAAAGGAGAAGGATACAAATCAGATAAACTGAACATGCCCCTTGAATCTGGTTATGGTTATTTTAATGTGCATGTTACCTATAAAATACTGTGCACTGATAAAGGATCACTGCCATTCACAATTCGTGCATCATCATTATGTCCCCAGGAGCTGTCACTATCCCCACTTTCATCAGATTTATCTAGATGAGGTAGAGATGCTCTTGTCACAGAGAAAATTATTCCTGAACTATTCTGAGCTCAGAAATGGTCATCTTCCCTCATTCTGAACCATTATATTAAAGAACAGTCTTAGCCTCTGAGAAAACTGAATTTGAAAAACAATAGCATTTGTTAAATCAAACAGTCTTTGAAAGCTAGATAGTTTATGTTTAAGTTTGATGGATGTAAACAAATTACAAAATATCCTACTTTAGGCTGGTTGTATCTGTATTGATATTTATTTGAGAGTTTCACTTTGAAATGGTTGATTGTTTTATAAAAGAATCAATTAAGTTTTAAAATAAAGCCATAAATCCCAAGCTCATACTATCTTAATATTATTGTGCATGACTGTAGTATGCTATTTACATAAGGGACTTGAGCTTAAACACAGTTTCATATCTGCATGAAGTCCTGAAGCCAATCCTCTGTGAATGCTGGAGGGTGACTACATAAATACACAAATACAAACTATTCATTAGTTCATAATATGTTTTTACAAAAGCTAAAACCTGCAAAAGTAAAGCTCATCTACATTAAGAAAATGTTAGACAACTCTTTAATTCTTTAAACCCAGGGAGTCTATACATATCACAGCAGATTGATGTATATGGATATTAACTGAAACATACAGATGTTTTGAGAAGTCAAGTATCCAGACATATCTTAAATAGTGTATATATTTTACTTTTTTATAAAAATAATAATCTAATAGACAATACAACAGTTAGTAATAAATACCACTACTGTGATTTATAATGATTCTAATGAAATATTTGGGGAAAATGAAAATTAAGGAAAACCTTACTTTTACTCATGCAGCTATTGATTTCAAGATATACCACATATAATAATGTATTTTAAGGAAAACTTTGTCTATGTTTAATATATGAATTTATTAGTGATTATAGGGTGCAATGGTAAAAATAGTAATTATAATAAAGTCTTAATGTGAAAACTTGGTACTATAAATAATCAAGCATCTTTAGCACAATGAGATATATTATGCAGAGTCAATAAATTTTAGAAACATAGAAAATACATAAGAAAATCAAGAATATCTTTATTCTATAAAACATAATATACTTTGTCTATACCCTAAACTTTGTAGAGAAAATGAAGACTTAAGATTCTATGTTACTACAGTTTTATTATAAGAAGAATTTCAGGATGATTAGTTAATTTATATTTATAAAGCACTTTATAATTTTTAACAATGTATATAGAGAAAGTAAAATTGCTTCCAGGTTGAATGAAAATCCAATAATTTGTGTTGCTTTATTATTCTGTATCCTAAAAATGCCAATGTATATAATATACCAAATGGATTATAATTTCAGGGCACTATTAATTGTGCTACTTTTTATTTGCATTATTTTGCAGCCCCCTCTCCAGTCACCAATGTGAAAAAAGGGAAGATTGCAAAAAACAGTATCTCTTTGTCTTGGCAAGAGCCGGATCGCCCCAATGGAATCATCTTGGAGTATGAAATCAAATATTTTGAAAAGGTGATACTCGCAGAATAAAAATTGTCTTTGTCCTTTCTTCTTTTTCTTTCCATTTAAGCAATTGCAATTATCCAATTTGTAGTGGTGTATGGTACACTTTTATGTGCAAATCAATGACAATCGATTCTGCAGTCATGATTATGGAGGTGAGATGTGTACAGGGAGCACTCTATTCATGTTTTTCTGCTGCCAATAGTTTATGCTCACAGGTACTACCACATAGTATAACATCACTAACTAGTTTTCACAACATTAAAAGATGAGATCATCGCACATTTGGAAAGTGTTGAAAACATGTAAGCTGTTGATCTTCAGAAATGACTGTACCATGCTGTAAGGGATCACTGTGCTATAAGGGAAACACATGTGTTATGGCTAATAACTCACCACAATACTTGTACTGTTAAGGACATATGAATAAATGAGACACATATACAACAATGCAAATTTTAAATCTCCATAACAAGTTAATATGCTAATATGCTGTATTTTAAAATTTGAGGTTATAAAAGTAGAAATGTGTTCCTTATATGCTGTATATTTTCATGATTTCCAATTTTCCTTGAGTGAGTTGTATCTTAGGTTCGCTATTAGATGTTTTACCAAATTAACTGTTTATATTTAATACTAGTAATTATTCTTTTCCTCACTTTTGAATCTAAAATCAAGTATGCTATTGGTAGGAGGACCATACAGATATAAGCTAACTATAAGCTTAGAACTTGTAAAGCTGGATTAGTCTGTGACTAAACTCTGAAGCCACTACAGTTCTTCCTTCCACTCTTATTCCATTCTACTGCAATTTAGATACAGCCTAAATCTTTAACGTGTTACAATGACCTGAGTTCTGATAAAGCAGAGGAACTACATGGATGCACAAGGGAGCATCTAAAGGTGGACTGGAGACATTGACTCAGAAGTGTTGTTGGTCTTTTGGAAGTAGGAGTAGAGAAGAACATGATGCAATAAGGAGATATCAAAGAAGGAGGATTGAGACACACATCCTCAATTGCTTCCAAAACCCACTAAGCAATATCACTCCTTTTCTTTCAGAGAAGAATAATGATCATGGTAGAAAAAATAAAAACTTATTCTATGATGCTAAAGAAATTGTCCAAGCTAGGACATTGGAAAGAGAGGGAATTAGTATTCCTTTTTTTCATCATGCAGAATGCTAATGTCCTATTAATGAAAATTATTTAAAAATCTGAGATTCTATGTATATGCATATATGAAAGAGCTTAGTAAAAAATATATATATATATTTAAATGTATATATGGAGATACTGGGGCTTGCATTCAGGGCCTGAGCCACTCCACTAGCCATTTTTTTTGTGATGAGTTTTTTCGAGATAGGGTCTCACGAACTATTTGCCCAGAGTGGCTTCAAACTGCGATCTTCCTGATCTCTACTTCCTGAGTAGCTAGGATTGCAAGGTGAGAACCACCATCATCCAGCTGAATAAATATATTGAATATTAATTTCTCATAGTATTATAAGGGCTTTTGAGTTACTTCTTTTGTTCATTGGTTGAACAATTAACTCTGCAATGATACAGTAATAAAATTTAAAACAGTTATTTTTAGGTTTTCAATATCTCTATAATGTTCATATTTTGAATTTATTAAGAAATGAATAAAGAGTCAATTATTATTTTTGAAGTAACCATATTTCTAGAAATAACTTAATGGTTGCACTCAAAATGATCTAAGAGAACATGTCTGAGACAGACAAACATATGTTGGAATACGGTTTTCAGAGTTTATTCTCACTAGAAATGGAATTAATACAGTAGAATGCAGCAGAATAATATCCCTCACTGATTCCTGTTTCTCCAGGATTAGTAACCAAAAACTGGATGCTGTTCTCAGAAGTCTAGAATCTAAATGGATGCTTTTTCCAAAAATAATTTGTAAAGTGGAGGTTTATATTCCTTATTTAAGTTTCTTAGCCCTTATTACTCTATTTTTATGTAATGTAAAGATGTGTACAATTGTGTGCACACACACCCATGCACGTGCTAAATTGATCTATAAAGAAACATTCTAAATTTCCAAATTTTCATTGGATAAACTTGATTTTTAAAAAAAGTTGAAATTCAGGAATGGAATTTATTACTAAACACCAGAAACTTGCACTTAAATGTATGCATAGCTATCTTAGGTGCGATATAGTTCAACAGCAGGAAGACTAAAAGGTTGACAAGTGCTTATTTGTCTGCATTGTTTTTCTTCTGCCAAGTCAATTAGCTTCTTGCCCTTAAGGAAATTATCCTAGCTCCTTTATTCCCCTTGTTAGGACCCCTAGATTGTTTTACATATCAGTTCCTAGCATATTTATAATACTCAATGTAATAAGAATTTCTCTCCCTCTTTCTCTTTCTCTTTTTCTCTCTCTCTCTCCTTTAATTTGCTATGTCTGTTAGAGCAAAAAAAGAGTTATCCAGTAAGTGAAGGGTAGAGGATTCCTTTTATATTATTTTTTTCTCTTGAGTTTTAGCCATGTCGTAGAATGACTCTTTTTATAGATTCATTTTTTGAATTATATTTATTTAAGCATAATGTGCTCTTATATTTAATAGTTTGTATTTAAAGCTGCATTCTATTATCTGCGTATCTCAGAATAAGAAAAACAGTTAATTTGTGAAAACGATTTCTATTTTATGCCCTCAATAAATTAGTAACAAGTTGCCTACTTACATACTTTGAAAGCAGCAAAATTTTATACCATACAATCGTTCAGTAGAATTTACTAGCTTCTTTTGGTCAGTGTTTTCCTTTTAACAATGATGATATTAATTCTCAGAACTTTTTGCCAAGCAGAAGTATGCTTAATAGAGCATACCAATGCAATACACATAAAGACTTTTTAACACTTCTAAAAAAAATAAAGGTGAATAATGAGCTTTTATACCATGCATTGAGGTGGGGTCTTGGTATGTTTCCAGGGCTCATTTAGAACATTCAGAGTGACACCACCATTTTATTGGGTGGCTTTGGGCCAGACACAGGTGGCAGAGCTTTCCAGGGCACATGCATTTGCCAGCTGGCATTTCTGCCTACAGTTGCCCTGCTCTAACAGAGGTCACTGGGCTTCTGTGTTCCACCATGCTGATGGGCCTATTGCCATCTCTTAATTAAAGGCAGAGGAAAAGGGAAGCTGCCCCTTGATGGGCTGTTTGCCAGCTGGCTCCTGGCTGAGGCCCTCCCCTCACTACATGTGAGCAGTGATTGTTAAGCAGCTGGGGAATGCAGCTCATTTGCTTAGCTGGGGCAGGAAAGGAGCAAAAGCTATTGCCCTAACCATCAACTTGGCAGTCAGGTGGTTGAGGGTGTTGAAGAGGTATATATATATATATATATATATATATATATGGCTTGTGTTATGAAAGAAATTACAATATGCGGATTATTTAAGGAATGTGACAAATAAACTTTGGAAGGTAGATTATTCACAGTGTATATTCATTGGGTTTTTTTTTTTTATCTCTTAGAAGATATATGCTTTGCTAATTATTTTTAATAATACAGTGTTCATGTAATCCAGCAAGACAAATTATAGTTAGACTCAAGATAAGGAACAAGTCATATGTAATGCTAATCATTAAATCGGAGAGAATGCTGTCTTTTTGTGCAATTGATATTAGATCACATGCTATTTCATGTTGGCACCTGGCAAGCCAAAGTTTTTTGTTTTGTTTTGGCAGCACTGTGGTTTGAAGGAAGGAGAATCTTAAATTGAGTTCAAGGCCAGCCGAGGCAAAGTTAGCAAGATCTTATCTCGACAACAAAATAAAGGCCAGGCGGGGTGGTCAATGCCTACAATCCCAGCTACTCAGAAAGCAGAGATCAGGAAGATCAAGGTTCAGAGTCAGCCAGACAAAAAGTTAGCAAGATCCCATCTCAGCCAATAAGCCAGTCTTTGTAGTTCATGTCTGTGATCCCAGCCTGGTAGGCGGCATAGGTAGAAGGATCTCAGTTTGAGGCCAACTCTGGCCAAAACCACAAAACCCAATCTGAGAAACAACTGAGACCAAAAGGGCAGAGCATGGCTCAAGTGATAAAACACCTGCCTAGTAAATGTGAAGCCCTGAGTTCAAACCCCAGCACTATTAAAAATACATAAATAAATAACACAAGAACTTGTGGGTGTGGCTTGATGAGGTATGGCTCTGGCTTCAATCACCAGTAAAAACAAAAAAACAAAAAAACAACAAAAAAAGAAGAATGAAAGTAAGAATTAGATAATCTGCTGTATTTTGGCAGTAAAGTTAGTGTTGTAACTACAGAGAGATAAGGAGGAATTGTGTACGGTTAGTAGAGACTTCTGCTTGCAGTTCAAATAGGAACAGCTCTTCTTCATTTCAGTTTTCAAACTTCTTTTCCAGTATTTTTTTCTTCATTAAATACTTTTGTAGCTCATATTTTATAATAATGTAAATGCAATAATGGTACCATGAATTGGGGAAGGTGGAGATAAATGGGAGTGGTGGAGGGGGTGAATTCAAATATGATATATTTTATACACTGAAGAACATTTGTAATGCCTCAGTGTACCCCCACCCTGCACAAAAATAAAGGAAAATAAAAGAATTTTTTTAAAAAGGAAAAGAATGTTTATTTGCAATTTTTCTTTACTACTTCTTGTTTAGACTATGGGAATCAAAATTAAAGTTCTCTAATGAACTACTAATTTTGTCTCCCAAGCTTTAAATATAATTAAAGATCTAAATCACTGAAGATTTAAAACTTAAGTCCAACCTGGCAGTATGTGAGATATTGTCAACTTTATGTTTAGGCAGCAGATTAGATATGCTCCAATAAAATATTTCTGAGAGAAATAAACATACAAACAATAATAAAATACAGTGTTTAAAGTAATCAATCCCCATACTTTAAAAATTTTATAAATTTATTTGCCAAAAGCAAGCATGGTTGATGGACAGAGAGCATGTCACCAAAAACCTTGAGTTTTAAAACCACTTTAAGATACTATACATAACATACTTAGGGTGTGTATGTATTTTTTTTTCAAAATGTATTTTTACAAATACAGAGTCCTTTGGCTTCTGGTTCACTTTTTGATCTGTGAGTCTAAGTTTTTCTGTCAATAGTAATTCATATGTTGACCATTCTTTTTATTGCATTACATGTGTTACCGAAGGATCAAGAGACCAGCTACACAATTATCAAATCTAAAGAGACAACTATTACTGCAGAGGGTTTGAAACCAGGTTCAGTGTACGTCTTCCAAATCCGAGCACGCACAGCAGCAGGCTATGGTGTCTTCAGTCGAAGATTTGAGTTTGAAACCACCCCAGTGTGTAAGTCATTTTAATTACTGTCAACTCGTGTTTCTAGAATGATTACCAGAAAAGAGTCAGTGGATCAATACTTCCCTGGGCACTCTGTCAGTTTCACTCTCCATCCCCCTCTCCCAGGCATGACCTCCTCAGGTAAGAAGCATCTGTCTTGCTATTATGGTAGGTCATCAGGTTAACACTTCTGTCCCACTCTCATTGCATCTAGTCCACTGGGAGATGCGACATCAGGACATCCTTAAGAAATGTTTAAACCTTACTTTGTTCCCCTGCCACCACACTTTATTGAATTATTGCCATTTACTTTTTACGTATTTCATTGAACTATGCTACTTTAGCCTTTCTAGGAAAATTCCATTGGGAACTTTCTTTAGCATTGAATGTGGGAAGATGGAAGAAAATGGTGCTCTCTAGAGCCAATCAGATTGCTAAAAAAATAATTTAAATCTCTGGTAGGATCTTAGAGTAGAGAATCGGAAAATGTTTTGTAAACACCTTTCAATATTTTCATTTTCCCATAAAATTGCATAATTCTTTTCCTCTTATTTGTCTGAAAACACATATGTTGAAAGCAAAATTATAAGACAATATACTGCCTTGTTAGAAGGTAAAAAAGCTGATATGATTCAAATTTTGCTGTAAAGAAAATAAAACACAGGAGTACTGTGAAACGTCAAGTGTGGGTATGTGGGAGAATGCATTTTGAAGCATTCTCAAGTTATATAAGAATTAGCAACTTAAAAATGAATAAAATTCAAAGCAAAACAAAAAACAAAAAAACCTGAGAGCTTAGTTATTAAATTACATTTTGTGTTGTGATATTGGGGTTTGAACTCAGGCTTTGCACTTGTAAGCAGTTGCTCCACCATTCTAGCCAAGCCCTGAGCCCTTTTTCTTTAATTATTTTTCAGAAAGGGTCTTACATGGATTTTTGCCAGGGGTTGGGCTCAGACCATGGTCCTCTTACCTCTGCCTTCAGAGAAACTGGACTGACAGGCAGCTTGCTTGTAAAGATGGGGTCTTGCTAACTTTTTCCCAGGCTGACCTTGAACACTGATCCTACTGATTTTCACTTGCCAAGTAGCTGGAATTATGGATGTGCCCAACCACACCAGAGTGCTTTAAGTACCTTTTTTAATTATTGTAACAATTAGTAAATTAAAGTTTCAGTAAATGTACCTAGCATGGCCCTTTTAGAAAATCAAAATATCATTCTGCTTAAAGTATAGTTAACTAAATTATATGTAAATAATTTTTATTAGTTTAAAAATAGCTTCCTGTTACTCCATTCAATTTTATACATATTAGGGTGCCATTGTGAAAAACTGATAGACTATTTCTTCCTATGCAAAAGAAAATTTCATATCTGAAGTCTAATTAAAACTACTGAAATGAGAACCTCTATTGTTTAGCTTTCAGAAAGTTTTCCTAACAGGTGGAGGGGCTCAAGTAGAAAGAGCACCTACCTAGCAAGCATGAAGTCCTAAGTTCAAGCCCCAGTGCTGCCAAAAAAAAAAAAACTAAAACTAAAATTTTCCCAATACATTTGGTAATAATTGATATAATTAGTCAGAAAGTTCCAATGTTACTGACAATGGATTATTTAATTGCATACCTCCAAGTTATGTGAGCTGGCCATCGTAACAGCTTTGTTTGTATTAAAATGCCACTAGTAATGAACATTGCTTACGTGGTCTACCTACTCTGAGAACAAAGCGATATATAATGTCAAAATATGTGTTAATGCTTTGTAGCTACACACGATATTTCTCAATCTGTATTTGATTTTACTCAGTTTAGGATGTTGGCATATGCCATCCTATACTTTTTATTAAATAGTAACTTCCAGGCATGCCAAAAACTCATCAATCAGATCACTGAGAAAATTAACAGACAGGTCGTTTATCTTTTTACAAAGTTTTACTTGAGATTGTCTACTTTAAAAGTTTTTCATACATAATTTCTACAGAGAAATATAAAATAATATTTAAAATATAAATATACATAAAACATTATATAAAATAAAGATAAAAGGAAGTACACAAATGTTATTTCTACAAGGGTAGAATTTACTATTGTTAATAATAGATAATGAGAATAAATTAAGGCTGCACTGTTTCCTGGCTTTCAGTGTAAATTTATTTATTTATTTTTTATTTGTTTACTCATTGTGGTGCTGGAAATTGCACCTAGGATGCAGAGCCTTTGGAATGCGAGGCAAGGGCTCTGTCACTTGAGCCATGCCACAGCCTTTTTGCTGGTATTTTGTTTCTGAGATATGACCTTGCTCAGTTTTTCTGGGCTAACTTCAAACTTATGCTTTCCTGTCCTAGCCTCCTCATACCTGGGATTACAGGCATATACCACCATGCTTAGCAAAATCTTACATTTGCTTCGACTGTGTATATATATATTTACAAGTATTTGAAGGCATTTCTACTTTTGACAAAGTTACATATAATTCTCCTTTGATCTTCATGTGGAATCCTTTGTGAAAATAATTCAATAAGAATGTATAAACACCTATTATGTAATTAGCTTTGATAGGCTCTGAACACACCAACATAAGTTACACATGGAAACTACTCTCCTGAGAATAAGAATATAGTATGTTTATTACATATTATCATATATGTATATTATATATAATATATACATTGCATAAACAAAAAGCAGTAAATATTACAATTACTTTTAGTATATAAAAGAATGTATCTTTGTATTCATGTAACATCAAAAGCACTATTTCAACTTACCTAAATTAAAATAAAATACATCTATCAAGGTAAAACATACTAGAGTTGCAGGCCTAGAATCACCAATTTCAAAAGCCCTTAATTCCTTGATGTTTTTCAAGAACATATTCCCTGATCATGATGTTGGTCACCTTCACTAGTCCCACTAGTGGAAAAAACCCTGTGCTAGGAGATTAAAGTTGTACATGCTAAGCCATGTGACACAGGTAAGTCAGTAAGATCAGATTCCTGGGTCTCCTGCTTAACAGGAGGCCAGTAATTTTCTTCCCACACACTACAAAACTCACTCTGATGAAGTGGGCCTGATTGCTCTTAGGAGGTGCAATTTTTTAAGTGTAAGATACCAATATATTTATACCTGGCCTCTTTCCCCAAAAAAACTTGAGTGTAGTATACAAAGAAAAGACATAAAATGTGAACAGAAAGAGGAGAAAAATAAGATGAATAAAAGTGGAAAGAAGAGTTAAAATGTTTCCATTATTATGTCTCAGTGTTACTCTGGAATATCCTGAATGTTACTCTGGAATATCCTGACTAGTTATCCCAGTAAGGAGTAGAAGAAGGGAAACAAGTCATATACTACTTTGCCAGTGGATCACAAGCATACCACTTCCTTGTGGGGGTCTCTGTCCTGGTTTAAAAAAAGAAAAAGTTCTCATTTTGGAGGGAGGGTCTTATGAAGTGCTAAAATGAACAGAATTCTGGATTTGGACATATGTTTACATATTATGATGTGCCTTGGATCCTCACCTTCTACCAGCATTCAGTGTGTGTGTTTGTGTGTGTGTTTAATAAAGGATTTTGTTCCCATAAGAAAGAAGTCTTGCCCTAAATTAAAAACAAGTATCTGTTAAAGCTTGAAAATCCATTTGAAACAAATGCCTTGAGTCATGGAGAACCTTTATCTAATTATATAGTTTTATAATTTATATAAATCAAATGTACTAATCCTGGATTAACACATTTAGTTTGCAATAAATGTGAGTGTTTTCACAATGGAAAAAAATATAGTATGTTTAATTCTGAAAGATGAAATATTTACTCCAAACCATTTTGAACTTATGATTTCACTTGTTATTTTAAATTTTATTTTATTACTTCCTATATATGAAAACAATTTATCCTAGCTAGTGTAACTCAAATAATTGTGAGGCAAGTAGACCTTCTTTCTTAATACATATAGACAAACAAGGAGTCAGAGGAGAAGCACAGTGATGATGATAAGTAAAGTAATGCTTCCTTTTCAGAACTTCTGTAGCATTTATGTTCTATGCCTTTTACTTGACAAAGTTTGTATTGTCTTTTGTGAAAGCATTTTAACTATTTTATTGGTCTTTAATTATTCCATCTCATAGTTTAATTCTTCATATATTATTTGTCTAACAAGATCTTTAAATACTTCAGTGTAAAAACTGTACCCTCTCAAACATTGCTATATTTTTCTTCTTAGTTATCAGTAGCTTCCATTTGGTAGTGACAGTTAAGAACACAGGCTTTAGGGCTGGGCTTGTGACTCAGTGGCGGAGTACTTGCCTAGCATGTGCAAGGCCCTGGCTTCAATCTCCAGTGCAGCAGAGAAAAAGTAAACAAAACTAACTCTAACAAGACATTATGACTAAGGAAAATTTATTCAGTCGTTCTAGTGTCAAAGGGAAGAACATTATTTCAAAATTACATTGAGTATATTTTTTAAATGTTTTCCTAATTGGTTGGCCAATTCACAATAATTATACATAATAATAACACACTGACACTATGTTATTAAGTTGAATAATTGTTAAAATAATAATTTATGAAGTTATTTATTGTAGTCATGTATTCATACTAAGGTAAAATTGTATGAAAGGCTTTGGTTTCTTATCTATGTTATCTCATAAGTCAAGAATTTAGTTCTAAAATGAAATGCAAACAGTAGTAAAAACAGGACTGTAAGCATATATTGTAGAAAGACTCGTTAATGTGAAAGTTTGGGTGGAAAATCTTCAACCATTCCTTTTCTCAGCTTTAGTTTGCTTTGTAATTTACTGTTACCCTTTCATGTTAGTTTTATTGTACATAAAAATGACGTTTAACATCTATTTCTTATATTTCAACAGTAGTCTCACACACATACACACATGCACACACCCCAAATAAAACTACCGTGAATGATATTATTGGACCAAATTAGTTAGCACATTTGGCTTATTTTAACATGTGTTAAAATGTTGAGACTGTCACTGAATCTTTCTTAATATCTGCTTGTCT